ATTGAAGGAAGGGAAGGCAGAGGAAGATTGAGAAAAAGTTAAAGTCGTGTTGTATTAGGAACTCAAAGATAGGGCGCTGAAGAGAGCTGGTTGGCTTTACGGTTACTTCAGTAACAAGAGCCTAATTCTTAAATAAGAAGAATGTGCTATTCTACTTCAGTCACAATCTTGGGAAGTTGATTTGGTAGCCCGAGCGTCTTGCTCTATATTTAACCATGTCTGAAACACTGCACGATTTTTTGCTTTTAATCGATTTTTTGGATAATAATCGATCATATGTCTCTGAGTCGAGCCACCGACCGGGTCGTATGCTCGTGAACCTATTTCATAAAAATCGCTACAAAATTAATTTTCATAAAAAGAAAAATGATTTTGACAGCCTTTTTAGCTTCAGTTGGTTAAAGCTTTCATTTGGAGTGATACTAGCCAGTGAGAGTAGACGTTCAGATTATGCAGAAGTTGCGACAATCGCCAAATATTGTAGCCTATTGTGCTTAGGTGTTGCTAAACTGCTTTTTTTGCAGGCCAATGTAAAATAGGGGTTCAGAAAGAGACTTTTTTTGTTTAAATTATGAATACGATCTAGACGATTTGATTCGGCTTAATGTTGAATCGATTTACTTAAAATTCGCATTGAAATGAATTAATATTTCCTCCAGCTCAATGTTCACTCTTCACCTGTTGAAACAGCAGTGAAAGCATGAAACTCTAATGTTACACATTAATAGCAATTACAAATACATTTGACAAGTTCTGCCGGGACTTAGAAGTGTTGTACATTGTAATTTTAATTAATGTGTTTTTGTTATTGGCTCTGGATATTTGCTAAATTAATGTATGGTGAGATGTAGGCTGATAAGTAGTTATACTATAAAATACAGAGCTTAATGAACTTTCAGGATTGCAACCGACCAGGTGGTTTAGAATGCACGGACAACACACACGCTGTTGCTGATATTATTTTCATGCCACTCAGGGTGAAGGATACTAAATGGTAAGTATTAAATCTGTCATTTTTTGCCTTAAGCTTCCATTACTATCAGAATCGATGTCGCTAAAACTCACACATTCTTAATTTGAAAAACTACAAAATCTTGATTTTGATTGGTCGTAATTACAAATTTAAAAAGAAATAACAAATTCTGGATTGGTAATATAATTTAAACTTTACCCTGTTGGCATATCGTTGAAAGTTCAATACCATCAATACCTATTATTACAAGTTACGACGTTTTGATATTATATTGAAATTTCAATCCATGTGCTGCCATCTAGCGGTTTGTTGCTGAACGACGACAAATTGGCAAGAATCGACTATATTGCAGCGGTGTAAGCTTTACGTTCGTTTCTTGTAACAAAAAATTATTTCGATAAAGTCAAAATTGAAAATTTATTATAAAAGACTTTCCGATGATATGAATTTCCACCACGGGTAACATTTTTGGTGCGGCTATTATTTTTGCACTCCAACATGGCACAATAAGGCGTTTTTCTTTTTTATAGAATTTGCACGAAAGAATAACACAACCATACCATATAAAGCGAAATGGCGGACTTACCTTAGATAGGTCTTTCGAGACCTATAGTCGGCACGCGTCTGACGCTAATTTACCGCTTCTACTGTATTTGTTGTTGTGTGGGTTCAATAATATCAATACGTGAAACTAACTAGCTTAAATTGGATCTTTTTTATAATATCAAGTGACGGGACGAACAAGTCGAGCGCCTGATGGTTGACTTCACGCCTGTTCATAACAGTTGCAGTGCCACTAAGACCTTTAAAGCGCAAAGATCTGAGGGGCACTGCCAATACGCCCGTCACCCTGAGACAAGTTGACAAGTCCCACGTGCCTGTAATTTCACCAGCACCCTTACCCTTCAAAACTGGAACACAGTAATACTGACATTACTGCTTGGCGGCAGAAATAGGTAAGGTGGCAGTGCTACTTTGGACGAACTTTTTCACAAGAAGCTCTACTGCTACTAAAGGGTCTGATCTGGGTGGTAGCATTCCAAGAGTTAATTTCCTTGTTTGTCGTAATCGTGTGTAATGTCGGAAATTCCGGAAGTAGGTACTTTAATGTTATGACGGCGTGTCGTAAGTATCAAAAATAGTTCTATCTACTCCAACAGCTCAAAGCATCATGCATTTTGTCAACCAATTAACAGATGTTAGAAATTGTAATTACGAGATGCTTAAAATACTATTTCATCATAGGAACTGGGAGGTCCTTGTAGTGACATACGACGGCAAGCTGCGCGGGTACTTGGTCTCTCAGACTGATGGATTCAAGCTCCATCACACGTTCCGCTTCGGCGGCGCGGGTGGAGTTTCTTCAATGACGTATTGCGAGGCGCACTCCACGTTGTATGTGGCTGGGGTTCCACATAGTGGCAGCAAGGTAACTATTGAACAATCCATAGCATTCCTTAAAAGGTACACTGTGAGCTACATAACATCTGAAAGTGAGAGGTGAAGAATCACAAGTGCCTTTTTTTACATATCCTTTTATAGAGAATGAGGCTCTAATGGCGGCCACGGTCTACCTGAGAAGTCTCCCTGCAGGTGTCCCTGGAAAGGTTATTGATGTTATTGACGGACACAGTGTTTTCCATCACACTGATTTACATTTACAGGACCCTACATCCCCCCTTAGCGCGGGTATAACCGCGTGGCGCATTTTGAACGACGACCCGTTCTACAAGCTATCGGTGGTCTCCGACCAGCTGGAGATGCAGCTGGCCACTGACCGTTTCCAGATGTACATTCCATTTATATCATCGAAGAACCTAGTGAGTTTTTATTTACGATTTCTTTGATTATTCTTTAATACACCACATAAACAAATAGAGGATAAATGAATAGAACAGCATCAAAGTTAGATGGCTTGGTATATAAGAATAACACAAGACAAGAGGGATATGTAGGTACAAAACCTCTTGCTACTTCTTTCATTAAATGGTTTTGTCAATCTCGATGAATGTATTGGGTTTACTTTGACCTCGATTTACAATTTTATTCCCTTTTTGTTGACAACTTAGTGTTAAGTAGTCATTTTGTCTTATCAGGCTTTCATAGTTCACATGGTGCTGTCGCCGGATGGCAGTAAACTCGTCTGCCTACACTGCAACGGCGATATATCGGTGTGGCGTCTGCCAGTTCTGAAACAGTTGTACCGCTGGCCGTTGGTTACTCAGCCACAATGCGATCTGGATAACCCACTGGTGATAGAGGAGAAGGCGGTGAAGAAGGATATGTCCTCGTATTATGCTGCTGATGTCAATTGGTGGACTAACGAAGTGAGTACTTTGTTTTACAATTAGCCTTTTGTAATGTAAATGTCGCGGTTACTTGCTATGCGTGATAGAGGAATGATACTCGTGATGACATTACTACTCGTATAACATTTATTTGGCGAGTTGTGTAGTATGGGGAAATCCGAAACCATAGAAGATACAAGGTAACTGTCTTAGAAATCATGAAGTCTTTTTTGTGTAAACAATTTTGGCATAGTCAATTTTTCAACAACAATATACTATAATTTAACAAACGCACTACGGAGACAAGAAAACATTCGCGTTTGAGAAACGGAGTACGAATGACATCTATGGCGGCGCAAAAAATGTTTTTGATCCCGATTGTGTTACCAGTGTCATAAAATTATTTACAACCTTAAACATAGTTTAAAAAACAAATAAAATAATGTGAATTGTTCTAAGTTTTATCAGATTACAGCTTGAAAAGACTTCTAAACGTTTATTATCGTCAAAAATAGGAAACTACCATTTAAAAAGTATCTTTATTATCGAGTTCTTAGGTTTTCGCGATTGTTACACATAGGAAATGAAACGATTTTTCAGGTCCCAGGTAAAGGGCCCGAAACGTCGGTTTGTTTGAAATAACAAATATACGCGATTTAAATCCGGAAAAATAGTTTCATTTCCTAAGTATCTTTTTTGTTCAGTTAACCCCTTTGTTTACGTTTTGGATATCTAATGGTGATTCATATTGCAATGGGATTTTTAGATTTTTGTCCTAACGGTGAATTCAAATTCATAATGTATGAAGTCTTGTTTACATAAAAGCCGTGAAATATGCAAAGCTAGAATAATGGACTGTATTGGAGAAGATATATGCCCAGCACTATGGTTAATAGTAAAACTTTGTTTTCAGGAAATAATACTGTCGCGGTTCAGCGGCGCTGTGACAGTGTGCGATATCAAAGACATGATTAACATCTTGGGGAAGAAACCGGAGTTCTTTCAAGGCGCACCTCATGTAATTATATCTCACTAATCAAGTATAAGTGTGAACTACAGGCAAGTTTGTCAAACTTGTTTGTTTATTGCGCTGTTTAATAATTTGTGGTGCAAAGTGCACTTTTTTTTATAATATCGAGAGACGGGACGAACAAGTCGTGCGCCTTGTGGTAAGCTACACGCTGTCCACCACTCATCAGTTATTGGCAAGTTTAGTTGCCATCGTAAACAATACCTCCCGCTGTGAACTTTTTTCCCGCTTATTTTAGCGCGGTACTCGAATTGCCTTCATATTTTTGCTAGTATTGTTCGATATAACATATTGACTGGATCTTGATATAGGGTAGAGTAGAAATCTATACATATAAAATTGAATGTTTCTTTGCGTCTTTGTCCCCTATACCATATACATAGATAAGTAGTGTAACTCCATACAAACGTAGCAGCGCGTCTTGTATGTGTATACACACACATTCTATTGTAGTATTGAAGCGGCCACTCGATGTTTAAAAAAATTACATTAACTAGAAAACTTGTTTATTGTTGTGTTTGTGGTTAGTGTCTTTTTTATTATATCTAATGACGGGACAAACAAGTTGTGCGCCTGTTGGTAAGAGACACGCCTGTCCATGACAGTTGCAGTGCCACGTGTACTGTTATTTATTTATATACAGTGCTTCTACTTTAGCAATGTCTCTCGGCAAACTTCGTGTTTCGGCTAGACCGGACGCTTTCAGTCGAGTTGGAAGTATATCGAGTTGCTATTACATTTTTATTTATTATCCAACTTTGTCCTGGTACTTCCACCTTAATTTCTGCCGCCAAGCACTAATGTTCCGGTTTTGAAGGGTAATTGTGCTGGTGAAATTATAGGCACATGTAACTTATGTCTCAGGGTGACGGGCGCAGTGACAGTGCCCTAGAGATCATTGTAACTGTTCTGCACAGGCGTGTAGCTTAACATCAGACGCACGACTTGTTCGTCCCGTCACTTGATATTATAAAAAAAAGTGGTTTGTGTGGTTTAGGTCAATAGCCGATTTTTTATTTTATTTTAATAGGTAACTTGCGCTCTTGACGGAACCTTCATGGTGCTAGAGTGCGAGACCAACGTGCTGCCAGCGAAGAAATCAAACAGTAGTGAGAGCGTGAGTGTAATTTAAGTTTTCTTAATAAAAATAATATTAATTTTATTTATAAACATTTGATACGTTATTGCCTTTAAATACAGATGGAAGTAGTTCAAGCTGAATGCGAGGTTGAAGATTCCATGCTCGATCTGACCAAAGAGCTGATAAAGTCGGTGCTATACTCTATCACTGACATTGAGACATTCCAACCGCGGCCCAAGCGCATCACTGTCGTGTCCCGCATCTATCGATTACTGGGTGTAAAGAGTACCACACCTGATGAGCTGTTCTCTAGAAAGGTGAGTTTTTTTATTATTATCAAGTGATGGGACAAACGAGTCGTGCGCCTAATAGTTAAACTATATGCCTGTCCATAACAGTAGGTAGCAGTAGAGCTCCTTGTGAAAGAGTTCGTCCAGGGTAGTACTGAAACCTTACCTATTTCTGGCGCCAAGTAGTAATGCGCAATGATAGTGCCCCTCAGATCTTTTCAATTTAAAGCTCTGAGTGGCACTGTAACTGTTAGGGTGCTTATTCACCGCGAACATGTAATGTAACGTTCAAAAGCACAGGCGGTGGAGAGGTGAGCCGATCATTCGCTGCGCAACACTTGTAACATTCGGTAGCCTCCTTCACTGGGAGCAATCGCCTGTAATGTAACAATCTGTTCAGATTGTAAGGCTGCGACTCCACCAGGTATGGTGGAAATGTTTCAAGTCTTTACTTAAGTTAGGTGCCTGCGAGTGCCTTTGAGTACCTTTTTTTTTGAAACGCACACACTCAACATAGCCCCGCACTAGGGAAATCCTGTGTCGCGGGTGCCATGGACACATACATAGACAACCACATATTACACCCAAACTCACGAGAGAAACAAATGTAGGCCATACAAACATTTCTCCCGGCCCGGGAATCGAACCTGAGACGTCTGCGTGGCAGTCCGGCGTGGTAACCGTTCGGCCACGGAGGCAGTTAAATTTGGAGTGCCTTTGGAGTGCCTTTGGGTGCCTTTGTGTGCCATTGAGTGCCAGCGAGTGCCTTTGAGTCAAGGCTAGCACACAAGCAGTTACGTCACTTGATGTTATAGAAAAAAAGTGGCAGTGCCACTCAGAGCTTTAAATCGTAAAGATCTGAGGGGCACTGCCACTGTGCCTGTCACCCTGAGACATAAGTTGATAAGTCCCTTGCGCCTGTATTTTCAACAGCACCCTAGCGGCTTGTAGACCTCGTTGATCCCAGATCATATTAATAACTCATTTTCGCTGAAAATGATGATTACGTTAGTTACGGTATGGGGGGCAGTATGGAACGTACAATGTAAAAGTGATAATGTTAATATCAGATTGAAAGCGGTAACTACGCAGAAGCGCTCGCCCTGGCCGACACGTTTAATCTGGACAGCGATTTGGTATACCAACAGCAGTGGAGGAAGAACCCTGTCTCCACTGAGGCCATCCAGAAATATTTGGTAAGTAATGATAAAAATAATAACGCGTACACACTCATAGCGTCGCACTAGGGTAACAAATATTTCTCCCGGCCCGGGAATCGTACCCGGGACCCCCGCGTGGCAGTCCAGCTTGGTAACAGTTCGGCCACGGAGGCAGTTATTAAGTATTTTTATTATTATTAAGTATAAACTCGTTATTCTTTTTAAGTTACGATTCTAAGGGAAACTCAATCCATCATCTGGGGGACGTAAGCTGGAGTTTCACCTTTAAATTACGCTTACACGTTTATATGGCGAACGGCCATGGAGTGGATATCCCTGCGTGCAGACTTATCCCTTGAACGGTATAACTTGGGCCTTTTCAAGGCGAGAGTGAATAGGCATTAATTAGGTGTGCGTGCTCAATCGTCAACCTTATTGTCATTTTCTATCAAGTGAGATAGAGGTCAAATGCGCACTTGTTTTTTTATAAAAGACACAGAATTGTATTAAACCGGTCTGAAAAAGGGTTGAGTCGAAGAACCTTTTCGCTCTTATTGCATCGTCATAAAGTTATGCCGCCGCGATAAAGCTATTCATTTACTGTCAAATTCGAGTGTTAAACCGGCATTTAAAGCTTTTATCACAATAGTTAACATGACATGGACCGTAACGTCACATTTTTGATGGCTGCAAAAGACTGTCGCAGTGCCAAACATGGCCGCAAGATCACAGCTGATTTTAAAACATTTTGACAGTTCTGTACAGTAGTTTTATCAACGTAAAAATTGAGCGCGACAAACGAGATGAAAAGAAATAATAAAAACGAACAAATTGTAAAGTACAAATATTGAAAAAAAGGTGAGGAGAACATTTTTAATACAGTTAAATACATGAGAGTAATTAGAAACACGTAAATAATATAAGTAAAATATGTAAAAACTGAAACTACAAAAACCCGTTTCATCGTTTTCGCGGCGATGGTTAAAGATACGCAATTTTATATCATTATACTTGTTCTTGAGAACGAATGACTCTATTGTGGTATCTTACCGATTCGGTATTCGCAATAAAAAAAATGTAATAATGGCAACATAGCTTTATGAACTGAAATAAATATGTCACGGGGTGGTTTATCACACATTGCATGCCATGCTACGGCCGCTGGTATGCTTATGCCGATTCCGTTTTAATAACTGGGGTGATTTCTTAATAGTGCGGTATTAGTCTTAGAGTGGTTCAGCGATGACAACGCGAGACTGCATCGATACAAACGCGCGATTGCAGCGATGTAGTCGCGTGCTAGCATCGCTGCTAAAAGTCGCCGTCTGTAACCGCTCTTAGACTGCTAACAGATTGATTGCATGTCCGCAGTTAAATGTGTTTGCAGTGAAGTCGTAATCAACTTCATGCAGCCGAGTCGATTTCGACTGCATGCGGTTAATGCGTGAAGTCGTTATCCGAGACCTCGATTGCATGAATTTGATCTTGGAAATTGACCTCAGTATTGGTCCCATTTAAATTTGAAGAAAATATTCCACCTCTAAGGGTAGTAAACTAGGGGATGAATCCAATTTTACGCACTTTCCGGTAACCAATTGCAATAAAACTTGGCAAATAGATGTAATTCGAAAAAGATGTAACTTTTGCGGTCGGTTTTTTCTTATAAACAAGTTGTTATTTACTACACATGTCGCACTCGCCACATTTTTTAACTTGTTCAAACGTATTAAATTTATATTTCATCACCCTCCACATTGTCGTATATATGTCGTAATGTGTAACGCGTACGATCTTATTCGGTTTTCAAAAATGATCATTCACCTCTAATTGTCGTATACTGCTCCGGCATCATCAACTCCGTCCACATATGAACCTAATAATAAATCTAGTTAATTTATTTCCAACAAATGTCAAAAATGAAAAGAAAGGGTAACAAATAAAATATTGGTGACTTCGGCGGCCCAACAGGTTCTAAACAGGACTTGTTTTAGGTTTGATAATTGCACCAACTACTAAAAATCCGCGCGCCCTAATTCGTCCGAACGCTGTAAATCTCCAATTAAAGTTCCGTTATAAAAGTTGCGGAAGCAGAAACTGGAACAGATGTGAAAAAGCATGCCGAACTTTCGCAATTGCGGAAGCAGAAGTCTGTTCCATCACTAACGTGTATATGTATATTATGTCCAGAGCAAAGTGTCTAAGAAGATCTGGGCAGTGCACCAGTGCGTGGACAGGTTGCCAGAAACTGTACCAGCGGCCAAAGAATTACTGCATTTCGGCTTACAACTAACCAACGAACGCATTTTGGATGGTAAGCTAATGTCGACGATTTTTCCACGCCGCCGAGAGTTTTACCGGCGGCATACACATTTTAACAAAAATAGCCGGATTTGATTATCTATATTGAATTAAAATGAAACACTAAAATAAGTCTCCTCTTTGTATTTTTCATAAACATAGTTCTAAATACAGTGTATGTATGTATGAATTTACAAAAACTGACAATCCTATCGAACTTGTGCTCAGCAATTGGATGAATGGGTCGAGAATGATTCAAATTAAACAAGCTCGGCTATTTATTCCATGAGCGTGAAAAATATTCAGTCGATAGTCGATAGAATATTTATCGACTGCAATCACTAGCTGCTCGCATGCGGGCAATACTTTTGCGCAATGAACTAAGCCCCCGCTCCGGTCGCCCGCAGCCGCCCGAAACCGAATACCGTGGTAACTCAAAATTGTGGAATTGAGAATAAAAAAATTCTGAATGGATCTTATTGCGAATAATTGTAGTTATATTTTATTTATACATAATATTTTTAGTTAGCCATTTATAAACGAGAATATCTATTTATTGGTTTCATTCGGTAATTTTTTGAACTTTAAAATCGTGTTCTCAATTTCACAATTTTGTGTTACGACACTCATTAATGTTTGTATGCCAAATATTTGATCGGCCGTAGAAAAACTAATTTGTTACTGTCAACGTCGATAGAACCCGTGTTTTTGCAAATAAATGAGCTACTTTGATTTAAACTTTCATTTCACACATTATTTGATTTTTAGTTCGGGACTTAATCATGTATAAAACATATTTTAATTACCTCGAATACTTCGATTTCGATACTTGATGTCGTTTACATGTATCGAGTATATTAATCAAAAATAGAGACGAAGTGTCATTTATTTTGTTTCAAAACTATTCTGCTAAATCATTACTGTGACAACTGCGCTCCGATTGGCCAGCCCGAATTCGAAACAAATTGACAGGTGTCGTCAATTGTTTCACTTCAAATCGACCAGTTTAACTAGAGCTGTGCTATAATGGACGAAAATTTCATATTTAATATTTAATTATAGATGAAATGTGATTCAGTTTGTTTTGTAATTAGATGTTTTGCTGTTTTTTTCCACACCACCGAATGGAACAGCCCCCCATAGTTAGAGATGTTATCTTTATCACAATAAATACAGAATATTTTTGGAATATACGGAGTCGTACACACAGGTCAGTTGTTGGCGTAATTAATATATGTTTTGTATATGATTAAGTCCCGGACTAAAAATCAAATAAAGCTATGAATAAGCTCATAATCTTACGTCATTATTTCTGACAGAAATTAACAAAGATCGCGATGAAGACGACATAAAGGACCTAGATGACATTACTTTGGAGGATCTGAACGCTTACACCAGCGAGCTGCTGCGTTGTCGACATGTCATGCTCTTTTATAAGGAACGACTACGTCTGTACGAGGTAACTTGCTTTAGAAGAATAACTTTCTCGTGTTATAGGAATTGTTTCTTCTTGTTTTAATGAAATAAGATGCTCTTACGTTAAACGGAAAAATGCATTTATTTTATAATTTATAATGTGGCTCCACACTATGAGCAGTGCGCATCCCTTACAGCCAAAATGATTTTTTTTTTCTTTTATTCTTCCTTTCTTCTGTCTGCCTACGAACAGTTTTCTTGTTTATACATATTTCCACATTAAATGTCTCAATTCTAACCAGCTAAGTAGCAATAAGGCCGCCTGTTGTACATTAGCTTAATCTGTGATGCACTAATGTCATCTCTTTTCATGCACTAATTTATGGTACAAAAAGCAGGTAGATTAAAAGTCTCAAATTAGACGAACTTGTATTTTGGGAGGCAGTTAATTTACATGAATACATCGAGTATGTAACCAGAAATAGAAGCAAAATGTCATTTAATTTGTTAGAATATTATTCTGGCAAATCATTACGATGACAGCTGCGCTCCGATTGGCCAGCCCGAATTCGAAAAAATGACGGGTGTCGTCAATTGTTTCACTTCAAATTGACCTGTTTAACTTTAGCTTCGACAATCGCAAAAATTACATATTTAATATTTAATTACCGATGCAATGTGATTGCGGTTGTTTTGTAATTAGATGTTTTGCTGTTTTTCCCACGTCACCGAATGGAACAGCCCTCATTGTTAGAGATATTATGTTTATTACAATAAACACATAATATTTTTGGAATATACGGAGACGTACACACATACTATTTCAGTTTTCTAATTTGTGATTTGAACGCTAACGAGAGTTGATATTTGAAAGTGATATAAGGCCCATTTACCTGATGATTTTCCAGGGATGGCCCTTATTTCGTCTCTGTTTCTGGTTATATACTTATTATATTATACATTTTCTACACTAGGTTTAAAATTCAGTCGTAATGAGCGGAGTAAGCGTATTATAGTAATAAAAAAATAGCAATAGGAATACTTAGGACATGTCTGTAAGAAATTTGAAAAGGTATATTATAAAAAAAATACGCTGTGAGGGTCATATTGACTTAAGCGTCTTACAAAAAGGTGGCTACGTTAGAAGTCAAGTGGATTAGTAATAACTTGCCCAGATAACGTTCGATGTTTTCTACAAATACCCTTATACGTAGTTTTTGTGGATAGGCGATCCTCAAGTGCGAGAAATCAACGTATGTGAAAGATGAGTACGACCGCCTGCGCAGCAATAGCATTGTGCGCAGTGCCATGGAGATCGCTAAAGAGGGACGCATCGAAGCGCTCACTTGCCTCTGGCCGCACATAAAGGTAATATTTACTACTAAGTAGTCTACTAAAGTTTATCAGTTTTTATTGTTGTCTTATTCAGATACAATAATATGCTCCGACGTCATGGCATGTTTACACAGGGTCAACTGTCGCTTTCGGCATACTATTTCGCCTTGCCAAAGGAGGCTCAGTGGCCTCGCTGTTTACAATTAGTCGACCAGTCGACCTGGTATAAACGCGCCATTAAACAGAAAAACGACACGGTTACAGAAGACTGTGTACAGAATATATAAAGAGTCAAGGAGCGTCTCAAAGTTGGCATCAAAGTCATAGATCGAGATTCGTATTCCGAATTCCTAATCTCTAATAAATACTCGTAAAGTGCAAGACATGGGAGTTAACATGGATCGCTGTATATGCTTGTGGTAAGAAAGTAAAGAAAAAAATTAACATTCTTACACTAGTGTCACAGTACATTTATGAAAATTTAATTTATGTTGAGAAGAGTTCTTAGGTTTTCGCGATTGTTACACATAGGAAATGAAACTATGTTTCCGGATTTAAGTAGCGTATATTTGTGTTTTCAAACAAACTAAGGTTTTGGGCCCTTTACAGGTCCCATGGTCACGGTTGACTTTTTATTGATTATGTTAAGAAGAATAGTTATTAAATTTTGATTGAATGTCAGAATGTTTCACCACTATGACATCTAATTATTTTTGTGAAATTACTCCACTAGTTTGTTATACGAATACTTAGAAAAAAATCCTTTTTATGAAATATTCTGACATTCAATAAAATTTTAATTACAGTTAATAGCGACATATCTAGCCAGGGCTGGTAGCTGTAAAGGTACCTAACTGGGTGACGAAATACTTTCGTCTATAATTCTATAATAATTCGTTTCGTGGCTTAATTGGCCTCTGACACGGTTTGCTAGGAGACGTCGGTTAAAATTCGGCTGGATCGAATGAATTTTTTCTAAGTGTTCGTTCTTTTTATTAATAATTATAGGAATAGTAATTTTTTTACGAAAAATTGTGATAAAAAGGTTTATACTTAATAATTATACAGCTTCTGCGTACTTAGATAAAAAAATCCCTGGCAATTAAGTGACCCGTTTAGCTCTTGCAGATCTCGATCTACGATATTTGAAGTAAACAATGTAAATGATAAATGCGCATTGTGATATTAGGGAGAGCCCGAGCGAATTGCATATGCAGTTGTATTTACATATGTGTTTACAGAAGAATTTGTGATTTTGTATTCGTGGTTTTTACTGCAACGGCACATTAGTACGTATGCAATTCCGAGCTTTCATAATATGACTATGCAAATGTTTATTTACAAAAAGGAACCTCCTGGATTTCCTTACTCATTCTTTTCAGGGGAATCTGCCTTACGAATAAGCAGTAGAGTTTAATCAATGTGACGGGACAAACAAGTCGTGCGCCTGATGGTAAGCGACACGCCTGTCCATAACAGTTGCAGTACCATTCAGAGCTTCAAATCGCAAAGATCTGAGGGGCACTGCCACTGCACCCGTCACCCTGAGACATAAGTTGACAAGTTCCATGTGCCTGTAATTTCACCAGCACCCTTACCCTTCAAAACCGGAACGCGTAATGCTGCCATTACTGCTTTCTCGGCAGAAATAGGTAAGGTGGCAGTACTACCCTGGACGACCTCTAGAAGAAGAAGATTATTTGACTTTGAGAGTTTGATTTTGATGATAACAAATTAATCTACTTCCAAAGACCATCCCGATGCAACTTGCGGTACTCAGCAAGCTACCAGAGACAATCAACCCGATAGACTACCAACACCTACTGCCGGTGCGTCAGCCCGTGCAGTGGTTCGAGAAGAAATCACCAATTAAACTGCAAGCCGATGAGCACGAGAACGATTGGTGTAGGAAGGAGATTTTCAGGTTATTTCAATTTGAAACTAATTTATTAAATAATTTCAGAGAAAATTTGTTCTTAATAATAATACACACACTGGCACATTTAAAAAAAAATTAGTAAAATCCCCAAGATAATGCAGTGTTGTTTGAATTTTTTTTAATTTTTTTTTATTTTAGGACTCGCGTGAAAGCAAATAATCTCAATATAGAGTACTAAAAAAACGGTGTTCCTGGAATTACATCTATTTGTCAAGTTTTATTGGATTCATTCTCTAGTTTACCACCCTTAGAGGTGCAATATTTTCTTCAAATTTAAATGGGACCAATAAGAGGTACCGTCTTTCCAACAAAAAAAGAATCATTGAAATCGGTTCATAATTGCACAAATTGCAAAAACAGTACAGTCGAATTCGGAACCTCATCCTCTTTTTGAAGTCGGTTAAAAATACGTGGAAAAAAGTTGCTATTGTCAATTGCAATGTACACTTTTTCCTTAGCCTTATATTATAATAAAATGGGTGTTTTTGGTATACAATTTTGTACATTTAAGGAGGTAGGACGATTGTTGATAATAATGTTAAAGCTAACTGCCTCCATGGCCGAATGGTTGCCAAGCTGGACTGCCACGCAGTGGTCCCGGGTTCGATTCCTGAGCCGGGAGAAATATTTGTATAGCCTATATTTATTTCTCTCGCGAGTTTGTGTGTTATTTATGGTTGTCTTTGCTTGTGTCCATGGCACCCGCGATACAGCGTTTCCCTAGAGCGGGGCTATGAGTGTCTGTGTTATTGCGTTATATCATGGACCTACGAACAATTATTTTATTGATAATGCACTCACAACTGTTGGATAGCGTCCGCACTTTTTAAGCTGCCTAATAAATCACTCTTTACGAACAGATCAATCTGGAGTTCAAACTGGTCTGAAGAGACAACGCCAGAAGCAGAAACGGCGTCTGAGGAATCCGAGATGGACGCAGTATCTGCATGGTATGATAAATGTTTTGTGCATTCATTTTGAACGAGTGAATGAATGAGTGATGCAATTCAATATTCTTTATTGCACATTAAAATTACAATTATAACAGTAATTTAAATAAAAAATATATAAATAAATAACTTGAACTGAGTAGTAGTAGTAGAGCTCTTTAGAGAAGTACTGCCACCTTACCTATTTCTGCCGCCAAGCTGTAATGTAAGCATTACTGTGTTTCGGTTTAGAAGGGTAAGGTTGCTGGTGATAATACAGACACATGGGGCTTGTTAATTTACGTCTCGTAGTGACGGGCGGAGTAGCAGCGCCCCTTAGGGTTAAAGCACAGAGCGACACTGCAACTGGTATGGATAGGCGTCGCTTACCACCAGGCGCACGACTAGTTCGTCCTTTCACTTGATATCATAAAATAGCACATTGTGTATTAAGGACGGTAAATAAGACATCAGCAACGAGGGCCTATTAGAAGCCCGAAGCCGAAGGCTGATGGCTTTAATAACTCGAGTTTTGTATTTTTTACCGTCCGTGATACATACAATGCTTTTCTTCACATTTGCGAGTAAATAAATGCAATGTTTATTTCTTGTATGAATAAATGTGATTCACAACACAACAATTATGGCGGGGTTTTTGTTTTTTTTTTCATCATCAGATAATACAACTCGAACTAAAATGTTGCAAAACGCACAACGTATTTTTAGCTCTTATTACATGAATATAAATCCGGCTTAAAGGTTTTTGATAACTGTGGTGATAACCTGTCTTAACCGAACAGGTACAACAGTCGCGCTAGAGAAATCGAAGAACGCAGCGGTTTGGTGTCTCATGCGTTAAATCTAGTCACTATTGCGTCTGTGGGCGGAGGCGTCGAGGGCCTGGACAATATCATGTTCTACCTCCTCACGTTGGACACATTGATCTATGACATTAATGTGGAGAATGTCACTTTGAAGCAGTTGAAGAAGCTTTCTACGCTGGAAACTTGCGCGCTTTTGATGGAAATGGTGAGTTGGCGTTTATTTTAATTTCCTCTCTTAATAATGAAACATTTATAAATGCCTCGTAGTCCGAACAGTTAATATGCTGCACCCGGGCCTGGAGAAATATTTGTGGGCCTACATTCATTTCTTTCATGAGTTTGTGTATAATTTGTGGAGTTGTCTATGTGTCCATGGCACCCGCGATACAGGGTTTCTTTAGTGCGAGGTTATGACGGTGTGCGTTATTATTATTACTTTATTATTTTAGTAGTACCCAGTGTTGAGTCATGGAATAATTTCCACTTTAAAAAAATCATATTTTTCATAAAAATAAATATTTTTCGGATATTTTTCCTGTAATTTTCCGCATTTGACGTTGACACCTGTCAAAAGTCGAAGTTACTGAACGATAAATCATTTTAAATCTCGAATTTCTATGTGTGGCGTTATGCTAAACAAATTTATTTTATAATTCACGCTAAATAACACTTCAAAAGATATTTCTAAACGTAGAACATAATATAAGCCTTCGAAATTATATACACTCAATACTTGAGCTATAGGTCCATGCTATTACCATTTATTAATTAACATAAGAATAATAAAAGGAAATGAAGAAATAACAAAATTATGAGAAAACTAAATCAGTACGTATTTGCATGCAAACGGAACACGAATTGTGTGTATCAGTTTGTGCATGCGTGCGTGCTTGTGTGTGTTTGAATGTGCGCTTGTGAAGTAACCTTACGTTAAATGCAGTATTTACATATTGATATTTTTGTACCAGAATCGCGGACTAAGTTCTCGATTCCATAATCGAGATATAAATAAATAATAAATAAATATTTGTCAACCATTGACTTACAAATAAATGGACGACGGGTCTAATACAAAAACCACGAAAAAAATGTCCCAAGTCAACCTATTCGAAATTTAAATTGTTATGTCATCGCAGTATCGCGCTGTCCGTAGAACAAATGAAGACTAAAGCGGAGTGTCGCGCTCTGTATACGATTTTAGCGCCTTACAAGTGCGGACACTTTTTAGCGCGGACCCGACGTCCATATAATTGTAAGTCAATGTTGTCAACTATAAAAGTTAAGTAACTAAAGCACTTGTGTCATGGAAATCGGAAACAATGACAGCACCACAAACACCCAGACCCGAGACAATGTAGAAGAGTTTTGTACATTGACCCGGCCGGGGATCGAACCCGGGACCTGAGAGATGGCGACACCATGAAAACCGGCGTGAAAGCTACTCGACCACGAAGGTCGTCATTATATCTATGACATCGAGTATATAACTAGAAATAGAGACGAAGTGAGGGCAACTAAATCCTTGGCAACTCATCATGCAAATGGGCCTTATATCACTTTTAAATATCAACTCTCGTTTGCACTGAAATCACAAATTGTAAATCTGAAATAGTAGAGCGCCAACAACTGACCTGTCTGTACATCTCCGTATATTACAAAAATTTTCTGTATTTATTGTAATAAAGATAATATCTCTAACAATGGCGTGCTGTTCCATTCGGTGGTGTGGGTAAAATAGCAAAACATCTAATTACAAAACAAACGGAATGACATTTCATCGGTAATTATGTATTAAATATGTAACTTTTAAACTTTTGGTTTATTATAGCAAAGCTCAAGTTAAAGTGGTCGATTTGAAGTGAAACAATTGACGACATTCGGGCTGCCCAATCGAAGAGCAGTTGTTATCGTAATGATTTGGCAGAATAGTTTTCAAACAAATTAAATGACATTTCGTTTCTACTTCTGGTTATATACTCGATTATCTTTGATGAGACACAATAATAAACACGTGAACGCTTCAATTCTGGAATGAATGGCGCGTGTGACGTCGCGCAACACGAGTGCACCGCGAAATTATCCGAATGTGCGCGTCCGTATACGGCACGCGGCAGGCGTGCACACATACAAGCCGCGCTGTTACATTTGTACGGAGTTACCATACTTGACTTATTAAAAAACGAAACCAAAAGCAACAAATGTCTTTTCAGTCGACACCAGCGACTTTCGTGGCAGACTTGAAGCAGTTCGTCATCCCATTCCTGAAGCGGTACGAGAACTTGACGCAGACAGCAAACGCGTGTCAAGTGCATCTCATGGACTACCTTGAGAGTATAAGTGTCAATGACCTTTCATACATTCTGTTGGTAAGTTTATTGCAAATTGCTTAATTTTTAATAGTCTTTAAGTACAGACTTTTTAAACACAGGCTCTTGAAACTATATAAAGTATTTTTGTGAAAAGATTGGGAGCCATTCTCCAACCTCTTTTCGCGTTTGACTGTACCCTACACTAGAAGTAGGCATAGATAATAGGTAGGCGTAGATAAATAAGCATGTAAAAATATAAAAATGCCGAAAAACAAATGAAATTGCACCGTGCAGTGGCTAAGTGTAATACTAACTAAGCTGCGTTAAAATGAAATGATGAAAAACAACTACAGAATATACCGACAAAATTGATTCTATTTGGCAAGCAATCGAGAACTAGTTCATATTACAATTTTTTGAAAAAAAAAAAAAATACCGAATATATATCTCAGTATGCCAGTAGCAGTATAGTTCCTTGTGAAAGAAGTACTGTCACCTTATCTATTTGTGAAGCCAAGCAGTTATGAGAGCATTACTGCGTTCCAGTTTTGAAGGGTAAGGGAGCTGGTGAAATTACAAGCACGTTGGACTTTTCAACTTATGTCTCAGATTGACGTGCGCAGTGGCAGTGCTCCTCAGATCTTTGCGATTTTAAGCTCTTGAGTGGCACTGCGACTGCTATGGACAGGCGTGCCGCTTACCACCAGGCGCACGACTTGTACGTACCGTTACTTGGTAGCATAAAATAGTACATTGTGTATTAAGGACCTTGAATAGGAAATTACTAACGACGATCTATTAGAAGCCCTAACTCGAGTTTTGTATTTTTTTTAGCGTCTGTGATAATACGAGGTTTTTTTTCACATTTGCGAGGAAATAAATGCAATGTTTATTTCTTGTATGATTAAATATGGTTTACAACACAATAATTATAGCGGGTTTTTGTTTTTTTTTAATCATCAGATGGCCAGCTAGATATTCTTCCATAGATAATATAACTCGAACTAAAATGTTGTAAAAAGCAAAGACGAGTACAGCCATGTTGGTTTGTAAAAAAAAATTGCTACATTTTTATATAGAAAATAATTAAAAATCAATTATAAGAAATTCTTAATAATAAGTATTTAAGTATATAGCTGAATTGCAATTAAATTTCTGTTTAGATAACATTTTAAGCGAATATTTTAATTTTGAACATAAGTAACCTGGAACTTGAACCTGACTTATGTGAAGAAGTATGTCGTGCTACAAAATAAAAAAAACTCCTTACCGACCATAGCTGTAATGGGAAGAAAAAAGGCCCGAGGGTTTTATTTAGGGCATTAAGCCCGATATACATTTATCCGACGTGTAGTGTCGTGACGCGTCAGAACGGTATGGGCTTCATACACAGCACAAGGCGTCGCATTAGATTGCGACACACTAATATAAATCTAACCATATTAAATATATGAAACCGATACCTTGCTGACGCGTCACGACACGACACGTCAGACAAATGTATATCCATCTGTATAGTCGAGTTAGCCACCATGCTGACAAATCGACACCTCCTACGTAAAGTATCGTATGTCGAAATTGCCAAGTTTACATGGAAGCATTTTAAAGTTCTGAATTCACTGAAATGAGCATAACACGACAAAGCTAATCTAATAGATCATCTAACCGATATGTAGGGTTTTACAATACTCTGTGTAAGTAACCGTTTGCCGAATAAAACTGAAAAATGCTAAAGTCACCTGTTATGCTCCTTTCAGTGCATTCAAAACTTTAAAACACTTCCCTGTAAACTTGGCAATTTCGACATACGATACTTTACGTAGGAGGGGTCGAAATGTAAATCCATCTTTATAGTCGAGTTAGCCACCATGCAATCATACTATTTACAAGCCAGTGTGATGAAAAAGTTTTGTTAACCAAAGAAACGGAGTAAAATTATTAGGTTAGCTCAATGGCGGTCACACTGTTGTAGAGATGCGGTAATCTTCTTGTTCTATCAGGTTCTCCAATCGCCGAGCGAATTCGAGCTGGAGGTTTCTGTTCATCTGGAGCTAGCTGAGAGATGCCTCTTTGCGTACACCGGCACTGACCAACTCGACAAGGCCTGCGATTTGCTCGACACGCTACTAAGGGAAAGGTACTGTTTTAATTGAGACTAGAAACCAGTTCACAAATGTCGAAGTGATTACTCCGATTATGGGATATGCGATTATGGGATTCCATAACACACAAAAAAATACGAACGACAGAAACAGAAATACGAATTAAGAACCTCCTCGTTTTTTGAAGCCAGTCAAAAATACTGCCTCGCAGAGGTCCCAGGTTTGATTTCCGGGACGGTCGGAACATTTGTATGGCCTACATTTATTTCTCTCGTGGATTTTTTGGTTGTCTATGTTTGTGTCCGTGGCGTCCGCGACACAGAGTTGCCTTAGAGTGCGTGCGTCAAAAAAGAATATATATAAATACCACAGGATTTTTTTCACGTATGGCCCGCTCGATGCAAATGCAACTCTTTGAGTCTTTGAATGCAGTGTTACTTAAGTACTTCTGAAAGTTAAATAATGTTTTCACCTCACTAGTTCGGAAAGGCTTTCTTTCTCGTTAGAAATCTGCGCGCAAAAGTGTTTTTTGCACGCTAGCGTGGAAAAGGTTTTTGTAATCGAATTTGACGATAGACTGTGGTGCACCTAACTTTTTCTTTCGATGAGAAAAAAAAGATAATGGCACGTTCAATTAAGCGATTTGTCGTACATTACTTATTTATGTAGCACAAATCCGTTGGTATATATTTTTTTTAATTGTTGACATTAAATTGACAATGATAACTAATTGTGTTTATTAAATTATTTTAATTCGTCGCAGAACTAAAATAATTTCAATGATCACTTGATCACACAAAATAAAAGTACAAGGAAGTATAAAAATTGATGAGGTGTGAATTCAGAACGCATCCGAAGATAAACTTTTTCTTTTCATTAATAAAGGTTTTATGGTTCAACTTTTTTCTTTCATCTACCATTTCCCTCGCTATAGTGAGGTGAAAAGTCGTGTTTCGCTCGACAACAAAGTCGTTTTGCGTCTTGTGCCTTGAAACCCTCGCTACAACAACTTTGCAGCCTTGCATAACAATAAATAAATATTTGAAGTATATTTTACAGCCCAATTGTACCTTACATTAAAAAAGTAAAAAGCTCTCATTTCTACAACATTCACCCTACTTTTGGTTTAAACAAGTCTTTTTGTACGCAGTGACGGTAGCATATCGAACAGCGAACTAGTCCATCGTGTGAAGGAAATCGAGCGTCTCGTCTCGGCCAGCAGTAAGATATCCTGGCGAGGAGTGCTCATCCCGCCTCGTGATATTCGTGACATGCACGAGGACCCCAAGCATGCGCATAATCTGCTCACGCGTATTGCCAGGTGTCTTTCAACCAGGTAAACTCCGTAATAGATTCACTACGTTGAGAAAGTATAGAAGATGAAGATCGTTACGAAAGAATAGCAGCAGTAGGGCTTGGGAAAGAGTTCGCCCTGGAGAATACTGCCATTTTAACTATTTCCGCCGCCAAGCAGTGATATGAGCATTACTGCGTTCCGGTTTTGAATCGTATATATATTTCGCACATGATAACTAACGTAGTATTATCTCAAAATGCCTTGTCCTGTATAATACTCGTACTATGTTAGTTGTCAAGTCCGTTTTGTATTTATTTCTCTCGTGAGCGTGGGTGTAATTTGTGGTTGTCTATGTGTGTGTCCATGCCACCCGCGATACAGGGTTTCCCTAGTGCGGGGCTATGTTGAATGTTCGCGTTATTATTATTATTTATTTTGAGTGAATAGGCATTTTATAGGCAAACGCGTACCATCGTCGCTTAACATAAGGTGAGATCGCGGCTAAGCGTGTGACTATTCTTTATTTAAAAAAAAATATTTTCATTGGAATTGTACCTAGTGCCAAGTTTTGTTGAAATCGGTTAAGAGAAAGTGATTCATCCCCTAATTTACAAAATATTTTCTTCAAATTTAAACGGTGCCCCCTTTCCAATAAAAAAAGAATCATCTAAATCGGTTCACACATGTCGGGGGTAAACGCGTAACATGCACATAAAAAAATTCCAGTCGAAGTGAGAACCACTTTTTTTACATCGGTTAAAAAATAAGTCACAGTGTCACCTTTTATAACTTGTCGCGCAAAGTGAAGTTTTATGTCGATTATGTTTGAAATGAAATGTAATTTGAAATTTGAAATGAAATTTATTTGCTTAAAACATGGTGTGAAAGAATTATTACAGAACACATGTTTTACCTGACTAGGTATGCAAAATGTTGCTTAAATTTAATTTAATTATGGCGCTGTCATCGGACGTGTACAAGGAATAATCAATTAATTAATTAATAACAACAGAATAATAAACTATCAATGTCAAACTATTAAATATCATACATCATAATTACATTAAACATACATATACCTTATAATTTCATGTCGACATCCAATAAGAAACAAAGAATAATCAGTCAATTAAAAACAACAAAATAATAACCTTCTATGTCAAACTATTAAATATTTATACATTATTACAATATAGATGTATATTACATTAAGTTCTAATTTCATGTCAACATTTATCTAAAAAATCAGTCACTTTGTAATAATTTTTGTCTCTAAGCCATTCACTAAGTCTGTTTCTGAACAAATTATTTGGTAACTTTTGGTTTACTTCTATTATGAATAATTTGATACTTTGATTTCTCTTTCCCTTTCTTGACATAATTCTGACGTCAATAAGACGCTTCTCTTCTTGCAGGGATGAGAAGCCGACTCAAGCAGACTGGGAGAAACTCTTGGAAGACATTTTAGAACTACAATCCACACTTTTCAACTGCATTAGCAAGGAGGAATGCCACGAGGTATCAAAATAAGATTTTTATACTCTACCATGCTATAGGTGTCATCACCATCAGTTTATTTTAAGTTCTGCTGTTGGACACAGTTCTCCTCTACGGAGACATCTCCCTCTCACTTCCAATTCAAGGGTTGCCTGGAAGATATCTATATCTGCTGCCAAGAAGTCTCCCTCACTCAGGTCTTTGCGGTTTAAAGCTCTGGGTGATACTGCAACTAGTATGGACAGGCGTGTCGCTTACCACCAGGCGCACGACTTGTTCGCCCCATCACTTGGTATATTATAAAAAAATTTGCTGTCAATAACACTAACAAACTGGTGAAGTATTTAAAAAAATACATGAATGTCACTAAAATAACTATATGAAAAATATTTGAATATGAATTCAATAAAAATTTAATGTCATTTTTAGCGACAACCCTAGCCAGGGCTGGTAGGTGTAAAGGTATCTAACTGGGTGATGAAATTCTTTCATAGATTTCTCATAGATGGCGCTACGGCTAAAAAGTCGTTAAAAACCAAATACAAAGATCCGACAACAAGCACATAGAAATAGAAAGCACACAGAAAAATTCGTGAGGTCCGCTGGTTCGTTCCGTGGCTTAATTGACATAGCGTCTGGTACGGTTTGCTAGGAGACGTCGTCGGTTCGAATCCGGACGGATCGAAGGAATTTTTTCTAAGTGTTCAATCTTTGTGTTAATAGTGAGTTTCAACATGATGTTCAATGAAAAAAAGTATTGCAAGGTTTAATTTTTTTGTAAAAGCTTGGTAACATTTTTAGGCTGTATGTGTTGGATATTCATTTCAACAGCGGGTATATGTTCGTCCATAGATCTACGCATCTGCTCTTCTAACATCAGGTGACATTCCGAGCATCAAATTGGCGTCCGAAGTGCTAACATGCGAAGCCGGCGTCAGACGCAATTCGCACCTGGTCAGTTATAACCGTAGCGTCGACTTGGTATCTCAGGCTTCCAGGGAATACTTTAACTCTGCATCATCGCTCACTGATCCCGCTTTGGAAATTGCGAAGTAAGTGATTTGTAATATCGTGTAATACAGAGGTTTCCAAACTTTTTTGCTTCGTAGCCCACTTGCCAATTCGACTGTATGTTTTTTTTTGTATGTATGTTACGTGATAACTCGGGTATTTGTGAACCGATTTTCATGATTCATCCATTCCATTGTGGTCCCATTTAATTTTGAAGAAAATCATCCACCTCTAAGGGTGGGTTCACGCATGAAGAGTCATTTTTATAAATAGCGCCTAAATTTTATTATAAGGAGCAATTATTTTAATGGTTGATTTTGCTATTCTCCAATTCAAGGCGTTTTTGTCTCACAATATACTTTGAGTAGTGAGAACCGATTTTTATTATCTCCTGTGTCAAGTCCCTTATAGTGGCGAACTAGGGGATGAATCCGGGTTTGCGCACTTTCCGGTAACCGATTTCAATAAAACTTGGTAATTATATGTAATTCCAAGTACTTTTGAGGTCGGTTTTTTTGGTACTCTGTACTGAGATTATTAATTCTGTTTTGCGTAGAAAGAACTTTCTAATATGGATTTTTCAAATGTGTTTTTGACAACTTACACTTTACTACTAACTTTGATAAGTTTAACAGTCTAGTGAGAAACTTTATTAAAAAATATTACTTGTTAATTTTTTAAATAGGGTTGTTTTTAAAATACTAACAACCTTTCAAGACTAGACTGCTAACATCATAAACAATAACTTTTGCTCCATAGCTTTTTACAAAACATAATAAATTTACCAAAAGTACTTTTAAGTTTTTGTTGTATTATCTGAGACTTAGTATTTGTTAGTAATATTTGATAGTAAGTTAAAATTTTCCCATGGCTTTTTTTTATCCAGTTGATAGGAATGGCGGAACTGCTATCCCATATTGCAGGGTGTATTGCAGAATTAAATTCTTCAATTCGATTTTCAACCATAGCAGTTAATTTGAAAAATTAACATGTACACCACACGAACCGTGACTGCAACCGAGCGTGACTGCTCGCGCGCAACGCTTCTAGATATTGTATGCAGGGCGTCTAACAGCGGCTAATTTGAACGCGCCCTTAAAGAGCCCGAAGCATTAGTTTGATATTGGTTGATTTACATCCGAAAAATAGTTTCATTTCCTATGTGTATCTATCGCTTTAACCTAAGAACTAGATGAAAATAATATCGATGCCTTACTTTCTTATACTCATATTTTATGAAGTGTGACTACTTAGGAGGTGACAAACATTTCGATTTATCTGAAATTTCTTATCAAGGGTGTGAATATGAAGGAAATGTGACGTGAAAACAGCCTTTTTTATTTTTTTTTTTTGACGGGGGGGAAATCTCAGGGGGGAGCCCAGGGAGACTCAGGGGTTATGTGGGGACTCTCCTTGAGACTGGAGGGCCTACCCCACTAAAACCCCCCCGGGTTTCCCTCTCGCCGGTTGAGTCGGCGCCGTGGGATCAGTGAACATTCACCACGACGCCGCCCGGACGTGAAAACAGCCTGCAAAATTTGTGTATACAATTCTTTTTTTGCATTTCCGTAACTTTGTGCTTTAAGATACGAGTTTGAGAAAGTAAGGCGACGATATCTTGTTTTATGATTTTTATTTATATTTCATGTACCAATATTGTACGCAGTTCTCTCAACCATCTTCTACAAGTACGCATTTAAGTTCGCATTTATCTAAGTAAAGTTACTTATATATAGGATAAGTATTCTCTCTGGTTCGCCTTCAATATTATAAATATTTAATATAAATGAAATATATAGTAATACACATATTTTAACAAAATTGTCGCCTGCCCATAATGTTCATGTTGTTGTTAAAAACACGTAAAAAGAGACTTTAGTCTTGACTTACTAAGATGAGAGAATTTTCAAAAACTTATGAGTAGTATTAACTTCATTCATTCATTACCCATTATATTTTTGTTAGGTTAAGTAGCTATCATCATGTATTGTCAATTCTATTTGTAATTGTAGAGCCTGCTTGACTCTGATAAAGGATGGAAATCAGCATATTCAAGAGGAACTAGATCTGATAGCAGCTCTGCCAATTTTGCTCACGTTTCAGCTTGACGTAATTCCTATACAAGGTATATTGCTGTTCAACTACCTATAAAAATATTTTTTAATTAATTTTATTTATTTGTTACCTACAAACAGTCATATTATCATAAAAAACAAGATCTAAGAACACTGTATATAGAAGTAAATAGATCTAAAGTACCATATATTGAAACAACATAAAATTTTGTAGCAGTAGAGCGCCTTATGAAAGAGTTCTTCTAGGCAAGTACTGCCACCTTACCTACTTCTACCGCCTAGCAGTAATGTGAGCATTACTGTGTTTCGGTTTTTAATATAATATAAAGTGACGGGACGAACAAGTCGTGCGCCTGCTGGTAAGCGACACGTCTATCCATAACATTTTCAGTACCACTCAGAGCTTTTAATCGCAAAGATCTTAGGAGCACTGTCACTGTGCCCGTCACCCTGAGACATAAGTTGACAAGCTCCATGTGCCTGTAATTTCTCCAGCACCCTTAACCCTTCCAAACCGGAACGCAGTAATGATCACATTACTGCTTGGCAGCTGAAATACGTAACGTGGCAGTATTACTAGTAAAATCTATATATATTAATAATATTTATTAGCAGTAGAGCTCCTTGTGAAAGACAGGGTAGTACTGCCACCTTACCTAGTTCTGCCGCTATTACTGGGCGCAGAGGGAGTGCACCACAGGTCTTTGCGATTCGAAGCTCTGAGGAATTGTTCATAAAAAAAACCACTAGAATATCGCCCACTTTTCTTCTTAAATGTATTTAATGAGTTTGCAAACATATTAACATCGTATAGAATAGACACTGTCAAAAACTATAGGATCGCGGGAGAAAGGTGTGTTATTTACTATTAACAAGGTACAAAAGTTTAGCGGAATCAATGTTATTGTCAACAAGCTTGAATAATTGTCGCCATAAGGAATTGTACTATCAACTTGTCTATTGAGAAATAACCGTTCTCCCAGTGGGCTAGTCAGGTCTTCATAATAATTATTTGATATTATATTTTTATTTATAGTTCGCATTTGTGAAGATCGAATGACGCTGATAGACGAATGTTTGAAAAGTGACAAAAATGGTTATTTAGCAAGCCATAAGCTACTTAAATTGGCCAAGCTGTTGAGGGTCTTCAAAGACGATGAACACAAGAGGTAACGAGCTAATTGTTATTTATTAGTTCTTTTTTTCTTTGGATTTATTTTAATTGCGCATTTGTGTAATTTACTTCCGTTTGACTTAGGACATGTGTATGTACGCCTGTTCAATTAATTGGACATGTGTATGATTAGTAAATCAATACAAACCCAGAGTGGGTTCGCGGAGAGCAAATTAATTGACTTCCAATTTTATTAACATGGATTTCCGCAAAGTAACGCCAGAATCTACTAATTAATTGAAAATGTGTGCAATTTACTTCTTTTCAATTAATTGAATATCGTCTGTGAACTGGCAATCGGTACTATTTCAATTTTGACAACTTAACAGGATGAAGAAAATATTGTTTGCGTCATTTATATAGCATCTGGTTTATTAAATAAAAATACGTAGTTTTTAGATATTTTTATTACACATGTATGTATGTGCACTACGTATTCTTATTTAATATACCAGATGCAATATAAATGATTTTTTCTTCATCCTGTAAAGTTGTCAAAATTGTGATAGTACCGGTTGCCAGTTCACAGTCGATATGTGTGTGAGTTGCTTGTGTTTCAATTAATTGGATATGTGAATGAGTTACTTCTATTCAATTGATTGGACACGAGCGTTACTTCTGTTTAATTAATTGGACACGTGTTTATGGTGGGTATAGGTTTTTTGTCATTTTATAGGCTGAAATAACGTGAAGAGCACGTTAAACTTTGCTCACCTGGGGACTTACCATGAACTCTTATTACAGTTCAGTGTAGGTTCGTAACGTCTAAAAAGCGGGATGGTGATATACACTTCATGTAGCGCTGTCTCACAACGATTCATTTTAGGTCCAAAACTGAATCGTAATAAGAGTTCATGGTAAGGCCCCTGTTATTTGATTAACATTCGTTTTGATTTTAATATTTATTGTAATGAATATTATGATATTTTACTTCCTTGATATCGACGCTTGTAAAGTAAAACTTATAATGGAAATTTGGAAAATATTACAAGAGAGCGATTTAAAGTAATTTTTTGAAGAAGTCAAAGTCAAAGTCAAAGATTATTTATACCATAGGTAAAATAAATCACATTTAAGCTACTGCTCGTTCACTACGCTGACCTCCCTGAGAAGAACGAGCAAGAAACTCTAGGGATTGCTCTTTTCAAATAAACTTAAATGCTATGGAATACATTTTGAATCAAATTTGTGTGGATTCTGGAGCCATGTCGTCTTTCCATACATCTTTATCTAACACGTAGTCTTCAATTTTGTAATATGATTTTTCGATCAAAATATTTTTAATGTAGTTTTTAAACTTAGGAAATGATAAACTTAATATATGCTCCGGAATCTTATTGTAAAAACATATACAGTTCCCCATAAAAGAGTTGTTTACCTTGGTTAAACGAAATCGTGGTACCATGAGTTTGAACTTAGCTCTTAGGTTAATATTCTGGATATCTTCTTTCTTATTGAAATTATGTATATTTTTACGGGCATATAAATATTAGAGTAAATGTACTGAGATGCCACAGTCATGATACCAGTCTCCTTAAACTTTTCTCTGAGAGAAACCTGAGTAGTAGAGAAAAGTAAATAGCTCTTATTTTGTTTGTTATATGAAAAAGCTGAAACTTTCTAGTTTTCCATATCGTCGCTTTAGTCCAAAAATTCAGTTGGCGTAGCGTTCATTGGAGGTACCGATTTGCACCAAAAATGGTTCTCCAGCCGCTGCTCTTTCCGTGTGATTCAAAGTCAAATAATAATTTATTCCATAGGTTAAATTTTTACACTTGAAAACGACATTTTTTGAGCTACTGTTCGTTTATTGCGCTGACCTCCCCGAGGGCGCGTTCCCATTATGTCGTAAATGAATTGTTCACAGATAGTACGACACAATTAACTGTCGTTCAAGGCTTTTTTGTCGTTACGAAAATTTTTTTAACGACGACAGCCTGCCGTGACAATGGGAAGAGTTAAAACGACAGACGTCTGACGATAAATAAAATGTCACGATAAAAACGTGACGACAGATAGTCGCGAAGACAATAGTAGCTGCACTATTGTCTTCGCGTTTTGTTTATCGTTGACAGCCCTCTCGTACCCCGCGCCCTCGGCTCGCTTTGCACTAGTGCTTTGTTAACGCCGGGTTTAAATCGGGTTAAAACCTATTAATGCCCGAAACCGAGAGAAAAAACTGTTTACATCTAATTATTTGTTGTGAATCGGGTTTTGTTCATATTTAATTATACATATTATTACAATATTACATTCTTAAACAGTAATTTATAAACGTTTGACATAATCCTAATGGTATTCTTTTTAATAACATTGGATGTACCCACAATTTTCTTTTCTTCGTTTGCTTCCTCTTCCGCCTTTTTAAAAAGTAATACATTATTATAATTTCATCTTCATTCTTCTTCATTCATGCTTCCAAAAGAACATAGAAGCGATTGCAGTGCATCAAGCGACTCTGTCGTGCAAACGACAAGGCGGCTGCCGTGAAACGCTAAATTGTCGTCACGATCTAGTGAGAACAGGCTAGACGCGACTGTCGTCCAACGGTAAATAAAACGGTTTGACATAATGGGAACGCCCCCTAAGAAGAACGAGCAAGAATCTCTAGGGATTGCTCTTTTCAAATAAACTTAAATGCTATGGAATACACTTTGAATAATACTTGTGTGGAATTTAAACTCTTGTTGTCTTTCCAAACATATTTATGTAACACATACTCTTCAATTTTGTAATGGGACTTTTCAATTACATACTTTTAATGCAAGTGACTAGAATAGAGAAAGGAATGTTGAGGTGGTTTGGGCATGTAGAGCGGGTAGGTGTAAGAAGAATTGCCAAACAGATTTATGATGTGAATGTTGAATGACTTACCAATGTAAGTTTGGTCAATACCAGATGACAGACAGACCGACAGACACCAGACCAGTGATGTCCTCAAAAAGGTTGAGATCCGAAGTGACAAGAATAAAAGAAGTTGTATGAAAAGGGTCGATGACGTATGTGAGGCTCGAGTGTTGTGTCGGGATAGAGTAAAGTAATGTTCCGTGGTCTCTGCCTACCCCTCCTGTGACTAGGGCATGGCACTTATGTATGTGTTAATGTAAGTTTTAAACTTAGGAAATGATAACTTTAGTATATGCTCCGGAATCTTATTGCAAACACGTATACAGTTCCCCATAAAAGAATCGTTTATCTTAGTTAAACGAAAAATGATGGGACCGCGAGTTGGGACTTTGTTCTAAGGTTAATATTATGGATATCTTGTTTCTTAATGGAATTATGTGTATTTTTACGGGCATACAAAATATTTGAGTAAATGTGTTGCGATGCCACGCCAACTCGACCGTAAACGTTACGGCGAACCGCAGGGAGGGCACGGTGCTGCAGCACGTGGGCGAGGCGGCGATCGCGGCGGGCCCCGCGGGCTACGGCGCGGCGCTGGCCGCGGCGCGGCGCTTGGCGGCCATGCGGTTCGCGCCCGCGGCCGCGCTGCTGTCGCACGCCGCCGCCTTCGCGCACGCGCACGCCGACCGGAACACGCGCCGCGGCCTCTTCGCCGCCGCCGCCACGCACTGCCCCGCCGACGGCATCGAGGACATCCTGCGCGCCAGGTCGGTTCCTCCATCGAATATCGTCACAACAATCTTGTTCAAATCAACCCCGTGTGCGGCGCGACGTAACTGTTACAGAAACGTTCGGGCGTTTATGTCGGCCTCGTAATGTATGGCTACATATAAATAACTTTATCTGTCACTATTCCCATGTGTATTTAGGGATTACGCCTCATCAGAAAGCAAAACCTCACATAGGAGTATAGAGCTTCGACACTCTTCGTCAACGAGTTGCTCAGGTTGTTACAGAATTGGCATTGAGGGGATTCTGCCCTTCTCATGAGACAGTAAAATTTATTTAATGGAATGTGACCAGAACGCAGTCTAAGAGCAATTATTAACAGTGACTTTGATAGGCTACCCTCCTCTAACTGTTTCGTTGTTTTAATAGCAGTACTGCTTCTTGTGAAAGAGTTTTTCCAAGGAAGTACTACCACATGACCTATTTCTGCCGCCGAGCAGTATTACTCAGCATCACTGTGTTCCGGTTTTGAAGGGTAAGGGTGCTGGTGAAATTACAGGCACATGGGACTTGTCAACTTATGTCTCAGGGTGACGGACGCAGAGTCAATGACCTTTGAACTTCACTGCAACTGTTATGGACAGGCGTGTCGCTTGCCACCAGGCGCACGACTTGTTCGTCCCGTCACTTGGTATCATAAAAAAACCCGTAAACTCTCACTCCTCCCGCACCGCGCAGGTGTCTCAGGAACCAACTCAGTTCAGCGCCTATAGTGATATTTGGTCCTTCGAGACAGGATGAAGCGTCTAATAAGCCATAGCCAAAAACTCGCCATTTTAATTTTTTGCATGTTTTCTTCAGTTTCCTAAAAATAGTTATTTCGTCACTTAATTATGAGAGTGCAATATGTATCCCTCGAGGACTAGAATATGAATTTAAATTACCTGTACGCTCACGAACGATTTATTTGACTTATGCAGACTAGCGCTGGAACTGGAAAGCCTACAGCAGATGGGCATGGCGATTAGAGGAGACCACGATGACGACGAGCGCTGGCCTTCTTTCGACGACGAGTTCTCCGATGCCATTACGACGGTGAGTTTACTTTGTACAAAAAGCAACGCTGTTGTAAACCACTATAATAATAATAATAATAATAAGTTTATTTTTCTCACCACAATATACAAAATACATTGGCATAATATCCAAAATAAAATATATAAAACAATAAATTATACTGTGGGAGACTGGTGCCTAAACTAGACGTATGATCTGTATTTCAGGTCACCAGGACTCCACCCCTTGGAAGATACTTGTTATTTTGAAATATGTACCAGTACATTGACAATTGTAGTAACTAACTTACCTATATATTAAGGTTTTACAAAGGAACATAAAACAATATAAAAAAAAACTGTTTATGCAGTGTTACTTTGGTTAGTATAGGAATTGTGTATTTGAAAAATTTGGGGGTGTGAGTGTGTGTGTATGTAATTATATGTGTGTAAATG